CAGAAGAATTTATGCCCGGAATCGAAAATGCCATCGGAGAAAAATACACCCGAATTCACATATGAAAAGGACGCAAAAAGTAAACTTGCACAAATACTTATCAAACCCCTCGCGGAAAAGGGCTGATACCCGGAGCCAAAAATTCTTTCGGGGAGAATACACCCAAAAGTTTCACATAATATGACGCAAAAAAGTCTGCGCAAAATTCTTAAAGAAAATGCAAAGATTAAAAGCTTGCAGGAATATTCTAACAACGAGAAGACTCAAACAATACTTGAGCAAAAGATGTTTTTATTTACAAAAACATGACAAAATGGCATAGATATGAGAACTGGAAAAAGAAAAGAAAAGCTAAACTGCATTGTCTCCGGAACCAGGAGGAAGAGAAGTGCACGCGCCCCTGGAAGAAGTAGATGGATCCACCGATGGCTCAACATTTTCACCGGTTTGGCCTTCGACATCATCATCCTCCGATTCTTCTTCAGTTCCCGAAAATTCGGAACCGGAACCAGAAGGACCAGGTGCATCAGACCTTGATGGGAGTCCACTTTTAGCAGCTAACTCAAGCTCGCGGGCCTTAGCAATTTTGGCATCAAAATCAATGACACCAGTTTTGGCCTCTTCCAAGGTTTTTCTCCTCGTGCTGTACATGGCATAAGTTTTTTCAACAACGAGGGAAGTCGCTCGGCGCTTAAGTTCTTCTTTGAGTTGAGTTACCTCGGCAGAAAGGTTTTCCCGAGAGGACCTAGCATATTTGAGGTTGACATCAAGGTCGCAGAAAGTTGAACTAAAGAGCCTATTATGCTCGATAGTTTTTCTGTACTTCTCTTCCAGCTGGCTGTGTCTCGCTCCCGCTGCAACAAGATCTTTAATTTTGGAGTTCAAGGTTGCCTTTAAGTTAATCACTCTTTTAGCGGAGGCAGTGACGTTCGGTTGCGGCAAGAACAACATTATGAACTTCAACCCATTTGGCCCTGGCTTCGTCAAATCTAACCCTCAGAGGGCCAATCTATTGGCGTAGGGTTACTACTTCTTGTTCACTCTGCCGCAAACGATCTTCCAATACAACAGTCTCAGCGGCTTTGGCTTCCAGTTCCGAAATGCGAGCGATATATTGCTTTTGCTCTACCAAAAGTTGATCTCGTGCGGAGATAATCTCTTCTTTTTCACGTATCAACCTTTGAAGGCCCTCGAAAACAAGAAATTTGGCCTACAAAAGTAATAAGGGTAAAATTCAGGAGATGTTCACATCTAAAAGTGGAAGAAATGCTAAAGGAAGAAAGGCATGTACCGCTGCGGCATTATGCATAGCCTTGTTCAACAAACACTCTCCTAAGAGTGCTTGAATCTTTTCCTAGTCTTTCTCTAAAGCCAAAGGCTTCAGATAATTAGCAAGCTCCACCGGCTGGAATAGCAAGTTGCATCCGGTAGAGACCGAAAGAGTAACGTTCCTCCTCCTTTGTGGATCTTCATAAGGGGCAGCATAATTTTGCCCCAAATTCCCATGAACTGGAGACTGTGGAAGAGAAACATCTTCTTCGTGGTCAGACGCGGTCGGCGGAGGTGATGTAGCAGTTTCTGGTGTTGGTAAAGATGGAGATGAAGCTAATGGAGTTAAAAAGTGAGAAGGAACTGCGTCAAGTGCAGTGTTAGTTGTTGGATGCTCACCAACCAAAGATGGAAATGGTCTGGAACTCAACTCCGAAGTACCGGACACAACAATTGGGGCCCGTAAACAGGAGTTGACATTATCTACTAAATCAAATTCTCTCCAAAGTGTTGAGGCATCATCCTCGGTTGGTGTAACTCTCTCGACAGGTTGAGCATCTTGTTGAGATGATGAGGGTCATCATCTTCTATGTAGAGAAGCTCCCTCATCACTAGCTTCTTCATCATCGTCGATTATCACGGTGTCTATGACTGGCCCGGAATGAGGGCCAGTCACCATCGCTACCGGAGAAGACCCGGGGGCATCGGTCCTCGCCCTTTTATTATTTTCCCCGGCTGCAAAGGAGCGTCTTCTCTTTAGTTGTTTGTCTTCCAGTCGGGGACTCCGAAGAGAAGCATTTACTCTCTAAGCAGGCCCGGAACCACTTGTTCGAGTAAGTGCCTCATGAAGCAGCCTCGCCGTATCAGCACGGTCAGCCAAGACATCCTCCTCGGGAACAGTAACAAAGCCCGCGGGTTGACCTAATTTCATAGACATGATAGAAGAGATTAATCAAGTTCTTTACATGAAAAATTGAAATAAGATAAGTTTGAATTACCATGATTCTTGGCCTTCCACCCCTATTTAGGGCCAGTTTTTTCCACAAGTGAGTCTCAAGCGTTGTAACGTCCAAGATATTTTGTACCCACCGGTCCAAATCTTCAATCACCGGTGGGACCTAACGAGTTGTTGAAACAAACAAAGGATGGAGGATCAATACGACCATTAAAATTATTTTAGTAAAAGGAAATACTAAAAAAGAGCTTACGAGTGTGGTCCCAAGCGGCCAGAAAAGATAAAGTCGTTGCCGGAATGATGTCATCGGTGGCAATTGCAACGAATCATTCCATCCACCCACGGTCGTTGTCATCATCCATGCTAGACAATAAAGCATGGTGGCCACGCTTGTAGAGGTTTATCATTCCCCCGCGGAAGATTTTGGGAGAACAAAGATTTATCGTGTGAGCTAAGGATAGCTCCTCTCTAGTTTCCTAGCACAAACGTCGAAGGCAAGCAACCGTCCTCCACACAGAAGGACTTACTTGTGCCAAACACACCTGATAACGGAGGCAAAACTCCGCAATCACGAAGTCAAGCTCTCCGCTCAAAGAAAACGCACCCAAAGTAAAGGGATACATGTAAACATATGTAAAACCTTCCTTAGGAAGGGTGGCTCGTTCTGATAGATCAGGAGAGATAATTTCTAAGTCATGGCAGCAATAGTATTCCTTCACAACAGGAATGCTGGAAGGACGTATTGAAGAAGGATACCTGTTAACGGCCCATGTACGAGAATTAGCAGTAGGAAATTTCTCTTCGAAGTCTTTTGTGGTAATAAGACTTCTAGGGATGATCGAGCCCACTGTTGGGGGAGCAAGGTCCTCGGCTCTGTTTTTGCTTTTTGAGGAACCGGTACGTTTCGAAAAAGAAGCCATTGTAGGAAAGAAAGGGTTTTCCGTTTGAAGAGAATTAGAAGAAAAAAAAGATGAAGAAACAATATGCAAGTTAGATGAAGGAAGTTCGAACGGTTATGAAATATAAGGGTGGAAGTTGATACGTATAAGTAAAAGTTTTGGCGGCTAAATTCATGGCGAGGATTACCTCGATAATCGGCAAAAGATGTGTTGAATCATGGGAAGACACGTGTTCGGGGCATCAAATACGGAGAGATATGCATCTAATCAACCGTCAGAAGCTTTCAGAGGGAATTATAGTAATTCCCATCAAAAGAGTGTTTCTACCAACTTTCCGGTAACACAAAGTTATGTCACCGGAAAGCATGGGGACTATCTGTATTGGGTAAAATATGTTGTGGCACGTGGCCGTCCAAGAAAGGGACACATGGAACCCAAGACGGGGATGACTGAAGACAACTGTTTCGTTTGTCACCGGGAAGAATAATGCTCAATAAAGATGTGATAAATGCTCCTCTCCCGGTAGTATTAAACATGGAATATTCATGGCATTAAGAGCAGTTACCTGTTATAAGAAATTTGGCATTTATGTTCACTATTACATTTTCATCAATGCTCCTCATAATTGACAGTAAAGAAGGGCACGACCATAGGACCTTCTTCATAGCTATAAATAGTGAGCTTGGGTGCCATTGTAAAGGGCACGACTATTCTGGCAAACTTATACTATATTTTATACAAAACTCAATCCAATCTTAGCTTCTGATTTCTTGATTCTTTTTGTTTTTGTGCCCGGAAACCTTATTCCCGAAATTGTTGCTTCTGTTGTTTCGTCCATATCTTAAGGCTAAGTGTTGCATAATTCTTCAATTATTTATTTATTTCAGGATCAAATTAATTCACTTATCTAGAAACCACGTATAAATTCAACTGTACCGTTTTACGGATAAACAGCTAGGTTAGTGAGCATTTTGTTTTTACTTAATAGAATACTACAACTTGCATTGTATTAGATGGATATACCGGTTTCTGATGATCTATATTAGTAGTATATATGTGTCAATGATCATTTTGTGTTCCTTTGTTTTGTGCTGTGCGTGTAATGCGAATTGAATCTCTACAGAACAGTAATCAGTTTCTTTGCTTTCTTTGCTGGGACATCTGACAAAGAGTAAATTCGTTAGAGATGGGCAGCCAATTCGTCAGTGACTCTGTTCCTTTTGTTGATATTTGTGGTCTGCAACCTGAACTTGATCTTACCTGCTGGTCTGAACTTGATCTTACCTGCTGGTCTGCAACCTGAACTTGATCTTTGGTCTCTCATAGTTTCACCAAATTCATTGATCACTAGGTCATTGACTTGATCCTTTTATCAAATTGATTATATCTTCTAACTTTCCAAGATGTTCGGATGGTAGACATCTTCTCTTTAGCTCTCTAAATACCTTTATCAACACACAAATAATATCAGTATATGTTCCTTAACGAATCTTTACACAGCAAAGGTTGTCCCATAAAGGTATTGAGTCTTCCTTATGCGCTTGTTCTAACAAAATCTCAACTCAACTCTTCATTCTGAAACTTTTTTCTTTTCTTCTGAAGAAGATTTCTTCAGAATGGCATAATTATTCAACACTACCTTCCTCAATCTTCATTGACTTTAGTGATCACACACCTGTGCTTTTTGGTACAAGTCCTATGTATGGTAAGGTATAGATTGCTTTATGCTTGTCAACTGTTTTATTGGACCAAGATAAACCAATATGAACAGTGAAAACCTAGATAAACCATCAATAATTTAAGCTGCGAAAGCATCAGAAGAAAACCAACAATTCTAACTTCGAGGAATTCACCAACACAAAACCACGATAACAGAGTTCAGATCATACATTTCCCCCATTACTATTTCCTCCCCTAAGACGAGGAATACCCATTCTGCTTTTGGTACATTATGCGAGCCACTAAACAGGTCATAGTAAAATGAGACCGCAACAACCTGATAACTAATAATCAAGTCAATTATGGATTTGGACCTGTTACGCTCATTATCAGGAGAAAGACATAGTGCTCAAATAAACAGTAACAAAAAAAAATGAAAAATGGTGTACAGCATTATTGTCCAGTCAAGAGTCCATCTCATTATACCATCAAAAGAGTAATTTGGTTCACTGATATTATACAAAAGTCACCACCCCAGATTCTTCAATGTACTACTCTTCAGCAACACGCTTCGACAAACATGATGAGAAGGGAATATGAACTATTTGTGTACTTAAACGATATGGATACAGAGAATCCAGGAGAAGAAATACAGGTGCACTGGCAGTGTCTCTGTGCGTTGATAGCGTTTCACCCAAATTCAGACATGTAGATGCAAGCAGACAAGAAGAAACAGTTTAGCTCGATTCCCTGCCCATATGAAAAGTGCATTCAACTTGAAAGCATTTACTTCAAGTAACCACTAAACGCGATACTAATCCATACCTTTCTTCCTGATTTCTTGCACAAATCAGAGTTCTTTATTCAAGTACCATAAATAGCACTGGCCTCTATTCCACTGTATCCAGTGAGCACTATTTCTACGTCAAAGTTGGCACCCCAATGGCCCGGTCAGTCGCTGTCCTAAGTTTCATCCAAGTCCTTTGAGCTTTTCACCTTTGTCTTGCTCTCGGAAGTACCCTCATTTTTCTTCATTTGCTCTTGACTACTTGTCCTAAAGCTATTAGTTACCCCTCTTGATGCCCTCGAACCAGGTGCATCCTCTGCACTTGATCCCAATGTTGCTACCTTATCATAATCCTCCCCCTCGTCACTGCTACTTCTATACTCACTTGGTAGCATTGAGTGCTGCCCTCCCTCATCATCTGAATTCCACATGGCTTCCTCAAAGTCACTTAACATGTCTGAACCAGAACCTTCTGTACCAATCTTTCCCTTTAAATAAGGATCAAAATTTCTGCTTGAACCTCCCTCACTTATAGGTCTATTGCTCTTACCTCTCTGCCATTTCTCCGTTTCATACTTAGGATGCCTGTCAGGAGCCTTGTACATGCCGGAATCAGCGTAATTGCTTCTACCACGTCGGTCATCATTGTTGTCCAATTCATTGTCATCTTCAGATACATCATCATGTCCATCGTCATCAGCTATCTTCCTTCCGTATGTCTTATTCCAGCCACTATTCCTCCCTCCTGACTCATCATCTGATTCATCACTTCCCATCATTCCAGATCTTCTGAATCGACTACCTATATCTTCTTTGTTCCAATATCTCATCTTCCCTACTTCGTCTTTCTCTGCTTCTTCCTCAGCTGCCCATTCGTCATCAGCTGCCTGTTCTATCTGAGCAATAAAACGGTCAAGTTCTTCCTGGTCACTGTCTTCAGCTGTTGAATGTGTTTGGTCTATACTACTGCTGAGACCCAACTTAGTACCAATATCCTCCTGAAAGACATATGGGCTTCCTTCTTTCTTATCAATGGCATTGAAGAATGTGGATGCTACTCGCTGGATACTGGCCCTGGCTGCTGGATCATCAGGATTTATCCCCTTCCTCCGGAGCTCTTGTTCTATTTTCTTTATGTTTAATTTCTGTGATTCTAGTGCTTGTTCGAATCGGGCTTTAAATAATGCCTACATGGAAGAGATAACTTTGTCAAACAGAAGATGTGTACTCATCACCAGAACATGTTCAAATTTCCAGCTTTGTTAAGCAAGTTACAGAAAAGCTAGTTCATTACATACAATAGGAATTAAAAGAGTTCAGAATTTTAGTCCCTATGTTCAACACAAATTCCAAAATATCGATGGTTCAACAGATGAGACATGCTGTATACCCATTGTAACTTGAAGAATGGGCTCACATTCAAGAGAATAGAACTTCAGTTGAACTGAATAAAACAAAGGGACCAGGAGTACATGTGAAAGACTCATAGCACCCAGGGAGTTTTACATCACATAGGTGTATGAAACACAGACAGAAGCTAGGTTCCCTCAAGCAAATACAAAATTAAGGGGTTAACAGAAACATATAACAATTCATCAACTTCTAAAGTTACTACTAGGCTTTATTTACATAAGCAGTGGATTACATAAAAGGGACAAGGCAAAGAAAAAGAGATTTGTAGCTCACCTTCCTTTTTGTAAGTGTGTTGATAGGTATTAAATTCTTTGGCTGGCGGTAGTTTCTGCCGCGAAACATAATAATGGTTTTTACATTGTGTATGTTAAGCACAATACCACCACTTAGTCGAGCCAGCATTGAGGCCATCTCTTTTATTTTTTCCTGAGGGAAGTTATCACAACAAACTTGCACAGTCTCATGGAACTTCCAGTGGAGATGCATATTTTGAACAACTCCTCCGAAGACTCCACGAACACCAACAGGAACATAATTTTTATTCCTGAAACCAATCTTCTTATACGCTTGCAGTTGCTCAGGAGTCAGAA